CAGATAGATCTGCTATGATTTTTTCGGTATTTACTGGTTTATTGCAGAAAATCAGTCAGCAATAAGGTATTAAATGAAAAAGATTGGAACCTGTGTTGTGCCCTTTTTGATTGATTTTTGGGGTATTTTTTGAATCAATTTTCAATTGTCCAGTAACCTAACCAAACTTATGTCAAGTTGAAATCAAGTTGCAAGGATTTGCTTGTATAAACTTCTAACAATGGACAATTTTCTAAGGCATATTTTATAATTGAATAACTATATAAAACACTGGAGAAGAAATACAATGTAAAATATGATTCTTTATAGGATCTTTTGTTCTTGTACTCCTGAAAGTGTGATGATTATTCTAACATTTCAGTTGTGGGGGTAGCATAGTTCAGTTACAGTGATGAATTCTTTGAGAGAAATCATCCAAATCAGTACAGGTCTACATTGATATTTCTAGTAAAATGTCTTGAAAATTATAAATCATTGCATTCAAAGAGGAAATAGTCAATCCTAATTTGATAATTTAGATTTAGAGTTTTATTTTTGTTAGCAAGGGTATTGAGGATATGGATCTAAGGCAGGTAAATAGAATTGAGGTACAGATCAGTCATGATTTAATTGAATGAATGGCAGAACAAGCCTGATGCACTGAATAGTCTACACCGTTTTCTATGTTGCCAGTGATAAAAATGTTTTTTGAATAAAGTAATCATGACAGATCAGCTGATCCCAGTAAAAATACATTGTAAAATTTCCATGCAAATGTTGTAATTCAAATCCATTTTTAAAATCAATTGCCAATAATGTTCTTGCCTCCTTCAAAATAAGAATCTAGAAATTGAATTATAACTCTACCCAATTACCCCATAATACTCCTTAAGCTATACATAATTACCATTAGGGAGTTTTCACAACTTGGACATTGTCCTTACTGCCATGAGTGAAGTTTAGATACCTATATTTTGAGTTTCACCTCCTCCCCAGTATTGTAACAGTTCAGCAAAGCTTAATTGGAAAGGTGTTTTCCAAATTATGCCATTATTACTTCACAAATGTTATCCGCAATAACTGGAACAATTATTTTCATGCACACTCAGATTATTTGCATGTTATTTTTCAATTAACGATAATGTACAGTAACTGCCTTGTTATCTGGGAATTATCATTCAACTGGCAAAAAGTTTAAAGAAAATGTAAAATTTGTTAAAAGTTTCTTCAAAAACATATGTTGGAACTTGGTGCACCAAGTTCTGATGCATATATGTTTGCCCACCATGCTGTTAAAGATGCAAGCGCTGTTTCTATTGTTGACCTTATTGTAATACTATCAGAGTTTCCAGAACTTATTGAGAAAATTGCATTGTCCTTTTGACTTTTAAGTTTAACAAATACTGGAGTGCACTGTATTGGGTTTCATTAAATATATTTCTTACACAACTGGCAGATGCATGTAAATGGCATCCTGCCACTCCCTATATATGCTGGATTATGTGGAGTTTATTGTACAAAGATTGCTAATTCCCCTGGACCTGATGATTTCCATCACACAATTAGTTTCATTAATATTAGAAGGTGAGGAAATTGCAGATCCATTAATCACTATCTTGCAAAATTTTCTTGATTCAGAAATATTTCCCTTTGATTGAAAAAAAATCAATACTACTTTTTTAATAAACGTGGGAGTGAGAAACCAAGAGACTATAAATCAGTTTTAAAAGATGTATTCATATAACATTATTCATGCCCTCATGATGTGCTATCAGAACACTCATGAAAGGTGCACACTGCAGCCACCATTCAATTTCATCCACAGTCTTCTCAAGCAGTGTATTCCTAACTGCTCACTCTGTAATATCTTTTCCACATATTTCCTCTCATCCTTTTAAACCTGTATTCTTTGGTTAGTGAGCCTTTAGCCTTTGAAAAGTTTCTTCTATTTAATGTAACCCTTTGAAACTTTGTTATTGAATCCTTCATGATTTTAATCAATTTTAACCAATCTCCTCTTAGCTCAATGGAGAGAAATCCCAGCTTTTTATTTAATATATTCATATAATTATAATCAGTCATCGCTAGATCGTCACCAGATTTCCCCTTATCGAAAGTTCCCAAACCTTACATATCTTCCTGAAAGTGTGGTGCCCAGAAGTGAATATCCCAGACAGGACTGAATTAGTGTTTTAAAAAGGTTTAGCATAATTTCTTGCTATTCATACTCTATTTGTATTTCTGTTATACAGGATTTTTCATGCTTTGTTAACTGATCTTGCCATCTTTTGAGATATGTGCACTTTTTGAGATGCACACCAATACACCAAAGTCTCTTGTGCCTTGCTTTTCCTTTACAATTGTACCAAATTGCACACACTCTCTCTCTCATTATTTCAATCAAAATGTATTACCTCACATTTTCCTTTATTGAATTTCATCTGCTTGTGTCCACTCATGCCACCAAACTCTCTATGAACTCTAGAAGTCTATTAATATTCTTCTCGCTGTTCGATATTGATGTCAATGGAAATCACAGAGGAAATTCTCCACTGGTTGGAGTCATGTTGAGCACAAAGGAAAATAATACAATTGTCTTAGCTAAGACCTACATCATCTCTGTGGTATGATAGGGCTCATCACCTTGAGTGGCTTCATCAACAAACTGTCCTCAACATAAAGTTAGAAGTAGGATGTTTGTTGATTATTGCACAATGTTCAATATCATTTTCAACTTCTTGGATACTGAAGCCATACATGTCTGAATGCAACAAGACCAGAACAACAATCAGACTTAATCTGTTAAGTGACAATTAACAATGGTGTCACTCAATACCCAAAAACAAAGACAAACTCCAACAAGAGAAAATATAACCATCTCCCGTTGACATTCAGTGGCATTACCATTGCCAAATCCCCCATCATCAATGGCCTGAATGCCTACAGCCTTCAACAACATATAAGAAAACTCAACATCATCCAGAAGGGTACAGTTTATTTAAGTGGAATCCAATCCATGCCTTAAACATTCACTCTCTCCACCACTGGAACATTGCCGTCTAGAAGATGCACAGCTGCAACTCACCCAGGCTCCTTTAACAGCACCTTCCAAACCTGTCACCTTTACCACCTAAAAGGATAAGGACAACAAATGCATGGGAACATCTGCAAATTTCCCTTCAAGTTGTCCGACATTATGACTTGGAACTATATGGTGGTTCCTTCACTGTTACTGGAACTGGAACTCCCTCTCTAACAGGATTGTAAGCATTCTTATACTTGATTGAGTGCAGCAGTTCAAGGTAGCTCATCACCAGCTTCTCAAAGTTAGCAATAAATGCTGGCCTTGCTAATGGTGCTCACACTGTAACACTAAAAAACAACAAAGTTTTATGAAAACTGCAAATTTTGAATTTGTACCCTGAATCCCCCTACTCCTCCACACCAATCCCCCCGCCCCAAGTCCAAATCATTAACTTCTATTAAAAACACCAAGGCCCTACTGCTAAACCTTGGAACTATACCTTCATTCTTCTGTCTAGCCATTAAAAACAATCGTTCATCACATTCCTGTTTTCTATACCTTACGAATGGGTAGTTAAATGAAATGACTTTGGAAGAAAAGAACACAGATTGGTAATACAGAAGTGGTGATAATGAAATTAAATGTTTTAGTGCTAGTGAGAGAATTCCCAAACATGGTTTGTTAAGAAATTAGTGAGCCAAATATGTCAGAAAATCAGGAGTCAAATAGGACAACTGATCAAAATGAAGGAAATTAGATTTAAGTGGAACAGGAAGGATACTCACAAAAAATGTGGATGGAATAATTCAGACAAAAGAATGACTTGAAATTAGTGTCGAGAAAACAGTACATTCTTTTTTCAAATTTGGTTACCACAACCAGTATTATTTGAATATTGCTGAAAAAAATGCCATCTTTCTAAGCCTTTTTTCATCTTGCCATGTAAGCTGCACCAGTTAATGACAACTGACAGTGTTAAATTGGTTGCCAGTTGCACACTTGCATGTGTCAGAGGCTACATATATGAAAACAGAGGGCCTTATTTTTTGCAGACAGAAAGTACACATATATATGCTGTGCCTGTTTCAACTCAACAAAATAGGTGTCAAGCCATTCTCTGATTCATTTCCAAGGCAATGCCTTGACCAATGAGAGTCAACCTGCCTGGTTTCAAATTTAGACAAACTTTGGCAGTTAACTATCACTCATTATTAACTCATGCATTCTCAATGGCAACACCAATAGCAATAAGAGTCCATTTGCCAAATAATCAGCTCTCTCCACTCACATTGTATAAATGTTGTCTTCCCTTTACTTTTGTACTTGTAACTTATCCTGATGAGGGAAAACTGAAAAGCTTTGCCAAAATGTGTCTTTTTTCAGCATTGCTGAAGTTCTGTACTATCAAATGACTATTTGTAGATTATTCATCTCTATGCCTATTCCAAAATGCTGAACATGCAGCGATTCACTTCGAAGTTCATCACTTGAATGAAACAAAATTACATTCAATTATTTCTTAACTCAGAAATGGCAATAAATGTCAATCAGCACTTATTAATTAAAAGGGTAATTTGAAGTAACATATGTATAATCTGATGAGGGGTGAATGAATATGTTCGGAGCAGTAGGACATGGGAATACAAAATTCTTTTCTAAGAAGGGAATACCTGGAATTCATTATTTATCTATTCCCAATACTAATCAGTGCATCATTTTTATTCATCATAACAATAAAATCGTTTTGCAAATTTTCCATGACTGGAGTATACCATTGCTCCCAATCATGAAAGAAGCAATATGTTAACAGATGACTGTAGTGAGAAAAGCTAAAAAGAGACTGGAGATCAAGACGTTGTAAGAAAAAAATGACATATACAAATTACCCAAATGCATACACACTCTCAATTCTTCATTTTTTGTTCAATTGTTTCTGATTAAGCTTTAAAAGAGAGTGATTTCTATGTGATCTAAATACATAGTCTCAGATTCTTACCTTTGTAGTCTTAACTCTATTGCCAGAAGCACACATCCATCCTGAATTATCTGGTAATGTCTTGCATTCCTCTCCCTCTATACAGGGGTCCATCTCACACCACCATTTCCCAATAACAATGGAAGCTTTAGAAGGTCATGGAATAGATAAAAGAAATAGTTAATGAATCATTGTTCAAGGATGTGTGAAATTTTGTGCATTATGTTCTATACTTTTACTAAGCAGCTTTTGTGATCCTATAAAAATAAAATTAACAGTGTCATCAAATGTAAGCACATGTAATCTTTGATATGCCCAGGCTTGTAAAGTGCTGCATCTGCCACTGCTAGGCTAGTGAGACATTCATTATACACATTTTATTTGAAACTAATCAAAGACCCATGGTTTAATCATGCATGTATATCTAGGGTCTCAAGTATCCACCATGAAATATTTTCCATCATGATTATTTGAATTCTTTAGATCTGCTGAAATAAAATAGTACAACTTATTTTATCTTGTAGTTCAACATCACTCCCTGCTGTTATGAGACTTTTGAATGAACTTCTCAAATGTTAATTCTGATTTATCTCTCTGTACCTTCTCTGCAGCTGTAAACACTGTATTTTGCATTGTGTTGTGCTTCCCTGATGCACTTTGTATGGTACAATCTGCCTGTACAGCATGCAAAACAACACTTTTCACTTATCTCGGTACATGTGACAACAATAAATGAATCAAACAATCACTTTAACTTGTATCAGGTAGAATTCATAACATATCTTGGGGAGGCTTACTAATGTTCAGTAGCATCAGAATGTACCATCTATAAGATGGACTGCAAAAATTCACCAAGGCTCCCTTAGATAGCGCCTTCCAAATCCAGGACCATGAGTGTCTAGAAGGACAAGAGCAGCAAATACATGGGAACACCAGTTCTCCTTCAAGCTGTTTACCGTCCTGACTTGGAAATATATCATTGTTCCTTCAGTGTCATTGGGTCAAAATCCTAAAGGCATTATGAGTCTACTTATTTCAAAAGGACTGCAGTTGTTCAAGAAGGCAGCTCATCACCACTTTCTCAAGGGCAACCAGGTATGGCCAATAAATACCAGCCCACCCATTGATGTCCACACCCCATGAATTGATGAAGAAGTCACATTGGTATGATATGGAAGCAAGAGTAAGATTGGGAGGTGGATGCCAGGGTACACACCACTCCTTCAGATGGACAACAGAATGTCACCCAAATAATACAAAAAAGCAGAGACATATTTAAAATTTATATTTTCTTCTACCTAGACTTATATTTCATGTTTAAATCACTAGCAATAAACTGCTCCAAACTTGATGTAATAAGTTCCACATACGCACACAAGTCTATACCTGCTGTGATTGAATATACAAGTAAGTCAGCTTTTCTCCAGTTGACAACAAAGATCAAATGGTATTCTCATTGCCGTTACCGATTACAATTGTAGAAATTGCTGAATTTAAGCAAACAATCTAAAAATTGCCATAATCATCTGTAAGCTTGTGTGAATCAACACCTCAAAATACAAATAAAAACAAGCTTCAATTTGATTTTTAGTTTAGAAAATACTTCTACCATATCTATGTTATTGTACAACATTTATGATCTATTGCCCAACACTGCCATCCTTCAATTGAATGCACTCAGTAGATAAAAGTGCAGGTTTACTTAAGAAGGCATTCGTTTTCACAATCCCTTCAAAACAGCACACAAAGGCCATTATGGATCTTGCATTTATTCATATTAACAATCTCCTTTAGAAATGGCAATTTATCTGTTCTGCTCACTTCAGCAACATTTTGTACAGCCTGGAAATTAGCTGAAGGGCTGTATTTGTGTCACCAGCTGTCTCCAAGTTGCAACGAGAATAGGAAATGATATCTTTCAAGATCAAGCTTGCACATGAAAGGAGCAGAATTCGAAAGAGGAAACAAAATTATTTTCAGCCAGCAGCACCTGCGTTAAAATTGCAATTGCCTATTTTCTACAAATGTCATTGGGAAATTGAGACCAGCAGGATGGTGGTGTAAAGCCACTACATTTAAGAGTCAGGAGCAGCTGCTGCAATGACCATTACAGTCTTGTCTTTGTCATTACCCATATCAGGAAAAAGAATGAACTACATCCTCATGTAATAGGTCTGCCCTATTAACAGTGTAGAAGCAAGGAAATAAAGGGCAAAACAAACAGCTCAGTCAAGTCTTATGCACTCCAGAGTTACTTCTTTTATATGAAGATTTATTCTGATACTTCTTAGTTCTGAACACTTAATGTATCATCATAGATAATAATGTGCAAGAAACAGAGCATATCAATAATGGGTTTTTAAATCTATCATGAGGATATGAATAAGCCATTACTCATTGTTAAGGAGAGAAATGCGAACAAAATGACACCCAAAGGATATTCATGATGTGACTAGATTTTAGTTAATTCTAATATGCAACAAATATTTATTAGTCTTAAAAATGTCTAAAAAGATAAGCTTTTATATAACATTTCAAGTGCAACTTATAATTTATTGTAGTTTGATCAGTTATATAATTCCAAAGAGGAAGTAATGTTCAGTCTAACGTATGGTTTACATAAACTATGAGGATAGTGAAATTGTAATTTTATTCCTGATTTATTCTACAACAAAGGTTCCCTAGCTCAGCAATCGCAATATGTGATAGCTTTTTTTTATTGTCTTGCTCCACTTGCCATGACAGAAAATTGTCATGCTGAAATGCAATGTAAATAAAGAAGCTGGATTTCAGGCAGTAGTGGGGAGACAGATAAGTATGGCTTATGGAAAGATATGCGACAGGATTATTTTTTCAGCCTTTCTCTGGTAAAAACATAATTAATTTAGCAATGTCTTCAATTAAGAGGAAACACTTCTCAACATCTCATTATGATGCTTGTGGGCTGGTTAGAGGATTTTTAAAGGAGAGGCAGCAAAAACATTAAATGATTTTACATCCTGAGAAAATAAATATGAATGTACCGAGTATACAGTATATGACCCTTAGATTACCGATTAGCTTGAAGCCCATTCATGCTGAATAGAATGAGACAGTGTACTTCCTCTTTTCATTAGGTTGTATTTGGCTGCTTGCCAATGAGATTTTGAACTTGGGAATTTCAAAGGCCATGACCTTTTGGATTAGTTGGTATCAACATTGTGGTAATATGCTTACTGCAGTTTGCAGCATAGAAACTGCAGCAGTGTGTACTCCATGGACTGGATTTTCAGATAGCCAGACAATTATTCAAATGTAGATGCGGAATTGCACATGGGGACCTTGTAGAATCCCCACCGTAACAGACTGTGAAGGAATTACCTGGGAAACTGAAGATTGGAAACCATCTAGAAGTTTCCATCTGAATTCAAAGAGTTCTAATGAAATGAAATAAACAGTTACTCAGGAAAAGTTAGACTCTTAAATATACAGTTTAGCTCCAGCGTAACTATTCAAATGAGCCTATACTTACTTCATACACTCCCAACGACATGTCACCCTGAACACTTATAGCTGCTAGACCCTGGCCTGACACTTCCCTCTCTACCAATGGGACCCGAAAGTCACTTCCCACTCCAGACATGAAACCATCCCCTTCCCCTATCCCCACTCCAGACTTGTTCCCCACTTCTCCTGCTCCAGACTCACTGACCCTTCCCCTGATTTAGACCCATTATGTCTCCAACCCCCTGCTCCGGGACAAGACCTCCTTCCTTCACCTGCCCCTCCAGATGTGGCACCCTGCCTCAGACATGCCACTGGGCTTGACCCTCCCCCCACTCCAGACCCACTCTCCGCTTCACCTGCTCCCCTTTCCATAACTCTCGAACTGAGCTGCAATAATCTGGCAGGATTAATTGCAGTCCACCTTCGCTACATTGAGACTGCCATGATCCACTGGCCATGCTTGGCCCAATGTATGAAACCCCCATGTCATCTAGAAATCTCAGTCAGAATGGGCAAGGAGCCTTGGTAGGTCCCTTAAATTGCATCAGTTAGTTACCCATTGCTTGCAGTCAAGTAGCCATTTCAACCCTGACCTTGCTTTTAAAAGATCACTCAAAGTTAGGATCCTAGCACTGAATTGGCATAATGACAGGCAACATGAAATTGCTGTCTCAGCACCTGGCTGAAAATCTTGTCCATAATTTGGACCAATCATTTGGCTCCCAGTAACTGAAATGTGACTGAACCACTTCTTTTGAAACACTCACAGTTTTGTAAAAAGATATACATATGAATTTTCCAAAACTATTTGTTGACTTGTCACACAAGAAGATTGTTTTACACAATTAAAAAAAAAAATAGTCTTAGGTTTTGGGGGAATGTTGCCATTTCTTGCCCACCCTTAGTTGCCTTTAGATGGTAATGGCAAACTTTCACTTCGAATTGCTGCAGCATTGTGGTTATGATGTACCCACAATAGCAGGGAATTAGAGCATTTGAACCCAGTGATGGTGAGGAAACAAAAGAATATACGCAAGGCTAGAGTAGCATGTGAAATGGAATGGAATTTGCAGTTGATAGTGTTGCTATTCCTTATCCTTCTTGGGAGTAGAAGACTGGACAATGCTAAACTTGGGGAATTAATACGTACAGCAGGCAGAGTCCCTTAGGAACTGAGGTGGGCGGATATTGAATTCGGGGCCAATTAAGTGAACTGAATGGTGGCTACTTTTCAGTATTGTGGTGGCTGATCTCATTCAAAGTAACAGTAAGGTTTGGGGTTTCTTTTTTGGTGGAGACAATTATTGTTTGTATTTTTTTGTGCTGGGAATGTTATCTGACAATTGCTAGCACAAATTTGAATTTCTCTCTGCACTTTGTTTATCTGTGTGATGATTGAAGAAGTGGTAAATGAAGCTGAATATTATAGAATCATCAACAACAGCCATATTTCTGCATTCTGACAGAGGGATGTGATTTAGGAAGCAACCGAGGATCGTTGGACTATAAGATCATAAGATGTTGGAGTAGAAATAGGCCATTCAGCCCATTGTGTCTGCTCCACCATTCAATGAGATCATAGCTGATTTGACATTCCTCAACTCCACTTTCTCTGCTTTTCCCCATTACCCTTGTTTCCCTCACTGATTAAAAATCTAGG